CTTACAAGTTGCTTGATTTTGATTTTCTTGGTGGCTCTGTGCTTGCTGATATCGTTGCCCCTTATGTGTATGCTTGCTGGCAGATCCGTTGGAAGGTTAGGAATGAGGAGGTCCGCTCTAATGAGCGCGAGGCCGATGGCAGTGATGCTATGGTATGAGTAACTTATCATCATCATCATCATCATGCTGCCCTTGCGGGCTGGTCGCTGACGGCGCCCGTGGAAATGGATTGGCGCTGGTGGGGGCCTGGGTTGGCTGGAGAGGAGGGGTCTGGCTTGCAGGGGAGGCCCACAACCCTCATGAATCATGCTGGACTCAGGCGCATGTGCAGCGGAGGTGTGCGTGGTCAAGGTAAGGCAGGGGATAGCGCGGCAACCATGGAGACAGCAAGGGACGCAGCGCTCCACCGCGGCTCACAAACAAAGGCAGCCGTCGCAAAGTTGTCTGTGGTTTGTGGGCTCGGCGGTCGGCGGAAAAACAGGTGCCGGAAGGGGTGTGGCGGGCCAGCAGGCGGAGTCGCCTGGCGGAGGGGCGGAGTGCGGGGCCGCGTCGCCGGCTGCGCCACCCGCTGCACCAACGCGCCGTCACGTGCTGCTGCGCAGTCTGCAGCGCAGAGCCACTGCGAAGTACTGTAGAAGGTAACGTTTGCCGACCGCATTGGCGCCTGGGCCGCAGGGGGCGGGAGGCTGTGGGTCACTAGTGTCACTGCGACCGTTTCGTGAGCAGCAATCCCTGTTCCCCTTCCATTCCAGCCAGGGTGGGGTGCTGCCTGGCGGCTGGATAGCGTGGTAGACGTGTGGCGCCGATCGCTGGGCCCGTGGACTCGCTGGCCATGCATGCCCAGCTGAAGCAGCTGCTGCGCGTTTTAGGGGCTACAAACCTATGAGGCTCCGCCCACAAACAGCGGGGGGTGCTTTGGGGTACTACATTGTAGCAGAGATGGAGACTGAGCACTGCAGGGTCGCATATGTCCGACGCTTCAGCACATCCGCACCGTACCGGTCGGAGCCGTGGTGCTCAGCTCGAGCTGGCAGTGCGAGTGGGCATGCGCAGCGAAATCGATGGCGCCGGTGTTGAAGCTAGTAGAGCAGCATCCCGCCTGCGCAAACCGCAAGTACAAGGAACATAGAACTGTCTCTTGATTTGGAACACCCGGATCCGTTGTAAACACTGTGGCCGAGATCGTGTGCCATACGGTATCGTGGTCTGGCACTTCAACCACACCTGCGTGATGAGAAGGATAATCTTCCCATTGCAACGCGCCGCTGCAAGCTGCGCTAGCACATCAGCACCGCACTTGTCACCAAACACTGCGGCGAGGAGTCTTCACAGCAGCAGCACTGCCAGCGGCGACAATGCGGCTGGCGGCCCTGCGCACAGCAGCCCCGCGGCAGCAAATGGCGAAGCGGCGCGAAGCGATGCCGCCCCTGGTGCTGCCGTCAGAGAGGGCAGCGGCGCAGAATTGGGTTCGGCATCGCTCCCGGCCCGGCCGCCGGCACGCGGCAGAGTGCACATCATCACCCATGGTGGGTGTGACAAACCCAGCCCGCCTCCCTCCTCACACCAATCCTCTTGCTCTGCCGCCACGATTGGCTGCTCTGCAGTGCCCTCGCAGGCGCCGTGCGCGCGCGCGCGCGCACGTCCCCCAGCGGCCGCGTCCGACGCCCCTCCCCGAATCCCTGCCCCCTCAAAGCGTTGGTCCTCGCCCCTTCACCTTCCGCCGCCGCCCGCCACGCGCCCCTCGGCAACCGGAATGCGACCGCCAGGCTGCCAGATGAACACATCAGATTCAGAGTTGGTGGCCCGGATCCTGGGGGACGCGGGATACGACCCCGGCGCAGATGGCGTCGGCCCTGACACTGACGCGGTGCTCATCAACACGTGCGCGATCAGGTGGGCACGGGTTGCTGGGTTTGTTTGCGTGTGCATTTGTGTGCATGCGTGTGCAATGTCTGTGTGTTTGAATGTGTTTGTGTGGGCTGTGGGAGGTGTGTGTGTGCATGCGTGCGTGCGTGTGTGCGCGCGCGCCGTGTTGGGGGCATGTGCGTGTGGGGCGTTGGCTCGCCTTCACTGGCTCGGCGCCGCTCCACACGGGCAGCACCCACCGATCGCGCCTCCGCTGTGCGCCCGGCCGCGGCCGGCCCCCTGCAGCCGCACGCGCGGGGACGCCGGGGCCACCATTCGGCCTGGCGCGTGAGCGCCGCGCCGCCGCCGCCCCTGCATCTAACCCGGGGCCGTCGCGTCTCGCGCCGATGCGCCGCGCGCGGCGGCAGGGAGGGCGCTGAGACCCGAATATGGAACAAGCTGGCTACCCTCAAGGCCGCAAAGGCGCAGCGGCGGCGGGAGAGGGGGTGAGCGGGGGCGGCCGGCGTGGACCAGGGTGATTGTGGTGTGCTGTTTTGGGGGGAGGGCGTCTGGCTGCGTGCAGGTGCAGGATGTCAAGCGTTGCTAGGCCCGCTGGAGGCTGCTGCTGCTGCGGCTGCGGCTGCGGCTGCGGCTGCTGCTGCTGCTGCTGCTGCTGCTGCTGCTGCTGCTGCTGCTGCGGTTGCTGCTGATGGTGAGGGTGGTGGTGGTGGTTGTGCTGCTGCTGCAGCTGCTGCAGCCCTCACCTCAACACACCCCGGGACGATGACGGCAGATCCCTGCAACCGGCACACCTGCAACCCGCATCCCTGCACCCCTGGCGAAGCAAACCCCCCTCGCCTCGCCCCTGCACCGCGCGTGAAGGCGCCCCCTGGTCGTGGGCGTCCTGGGCTGCATGGCCGAGCGCCTGAAGGCCCGGCTGCTGGACAAGGACAAGCTGGCGGACCTGGTGGTGGGGCCGGACGCGTATCGCGACCTGCCGCGGATACTGCAGGCGGTACAGGTGGGCGGCGGGTGACGACGGGTGACGCAACGGGTGCGCCTCGCGTGAGCCGTCGCGGGCGTCAACGCGCGCCGCGGGCGGCGCAGGGCTCCTGTGCCAACACTGACAGCGCCACGCCGCCGCCGCCGCGGCGCCAGCGCGACCGATCGACCCTCTCGTGCCGCACGGGCGCCGGCGGGACCGGAGGCGCGCGTGCAGAGCGCCCGTGCTTGGCCCGGGGCCGTCCCGCCTCGCCGTCGATCGATGTTGCCTCCCTCGCTTTGTCCCAACTCGCCATCCCCCAGGAGGGCGGCGGCGGCAGCGCTGAGGCTATGAACGTGGCGCTGTCGCTGGAGGAGACGTACTCGGACGTGCTGCCGCTGAGGAGGGGGGGCGGACCGTCCGCGTTCGTCTCGATCATGCGGGGCTGCAACAACATGTAGGTGCATGTGTGTGTGTGTGCGTGCGTGCGTGCGTGCGTGCGTGCGTGCGTGCGTGCGTGCGTGCGTGCGTGCGTGTGCGTGTGGGGGGTGTTTGTGCGTGTGTGTGTGTGTGTGTGTGTGTG